TGTATCTGAATACAGTTGCACACTCAAACACTGAAAATAAGTGATTTAAGCCTTTTTCTAAAACCATGCTTTAGAAGATAAGCCCTCAGGAAGAAAGAGGTTCAGCTCTTCCCTTAGAGGCTGGGGTCTTTTGCTGTGTTTGCAGAGCCTTCCTAATGCCCAAGGTGTTATGTGGGTTCTTTTCAGTTAAGCTGGTATCAGGAAGCGCAGACTCTGTGGGACCAATTGTATTAAGTTAGGCTAATTCTGCTATAGCAATGTCTTGAGTACTGCTGATAAAAACTAAGAAGATTAAACTCCACATAATCTGGGGATCTTTGTGTAAGTAAATTCAAATTATCATAAGCTCTTCAAATCATTGATCTGAGGATCAGTAAGAAGGGAAGAATAACTCAAACTAGCTCAAGTTGCAAATCTTTAGGTCTTTTTTTTTTCTTTTAATTATATAAAAATATATATATATATATTTTCCCAGAAAAAATAAAATCTTAAAGATGCTTTGGAATAATAAAGTTGTTTTTGCTCTGCCTTCTTAAGGGAAAGAAGGTTTGAAAGGAGCTGCACAATGGTGTATCTTCCTCAGTTACTTAACATGCAGTTGTGTTGGATTTAAGGAGGCTATAAAAATGCTAAAGGTCAATGGTTGATTATTTTAATGTTACACCTCCATTTCAATAAAGACTGCTTTTGAAATAGAACTCTTAATGGCACTACTATTTTGCTAAATGTTGGTATTGTAACTTCTGATTTTTGTATTCTTTAGAAATGAGGAAATGCATTCATGGTGTTCACTGGGTATATCCAGGTATAAAGGAAACAAGCCAGGAGTCTAAAAGTACTATAAAGGAAACAAGCCAGGAGTCTAAAAGTACTATCTCAGATTGCACAGCTTTTCACCCTATTTTGCATTTACAAATTTGTAACCAATTTTCTGTGATTTTCAGGCCTTATGCTGGCAGTAATGTTTCCTGACACTAAGACTGCTTTTCTCTTTTGTCATTTGTGGTCCCCTTAGATGTAACATGCAGCTGATTAGAAAGTATTCCAAAGGCTTTACATTGATTCCATGTGAGGAACTTGAATTACTGTTTCCCTGTGACATTGGTCTAGAGGGCCCAGTTTTAAGTGTGCTGTCAGGCTTTGTCTGATCTTCATCAAACAGAGTATGAGAACCACTTATTATCTGGGAAGTGAAGTCTGTAATACCTGTGAGAACATTAAGGTCAGCTTTTTCTCAGCTGTGATTTACCACAGCCTCCACAGTTCATCTTGGACCTTTCTTCGGAACAGGCTGGCGGATCTGTTGCCTAGGTGTCTGGGTGGGTTTCACATCTCAAGCTTAGAGCTTTATGGCTCTGTAGCCATGCTCAGAGATTTGAGGTGACATCTGCATGAGATGGTTCTGTATTGCACATCTACACCAACTGTCATCTTCCAGAATGGAGCAGTCCCATCCAACCTGCCTTTGCTAACAACCAAACCATGTCAGGGTATCATTTGGAAGAGTGATAGCTGGGTTGCCCCACAACATTTCAGAAGTGCTTTACCACTGACTGAATTTCAGCGCTCAGGGACATTTTCAGGTATAGTTTTATTAAAGTAGGGACATAGTCTAAGCATGTGTGTGTGTCAGGCAAATTTGGAGCTCAGACAGGAGCTATATATTTAAAAGTGATCAAATTACTTTTCTGAAATGTTTTATGTTGATAATATTATAGAATTAATGTAGCTCTTTTGAGGCTTTTTACCTACAGTTTCAGAAGTTTGTCAGAGATAACATTTGCTTCTGAAACGTTTTTACTACAATAAACACATATTTGGAAGGTAGAGGGAGCTGGTCATCTGTAAGGAGCTCCTGCACTACCATCTGATGAACCAGCCCCTTCTCCAACTTCAGAGGTAAAGAGGCATTTTACTACTAAGGAGAGAAGTCTAATTTTAGTACAAATTGTTTTTTTTTTCCCCTTTCTAAATCTCTGCTGCTGCTTTGAGATGAAATGCAGTGGATTACTGTAATAATACTGTAATAGACCACCTGGACATTGCTAATAGTGAACTTGATGAAATATCAGTGCTGGAATGAATTTAAAATGAGCCTTTTTCTGCAGCAAGTAGAAGGATTTGTATCAGACAATGAAGAAATTTTCTATCACAGATTAGTTAAATTCTATTCAGCTACTTCAGAGGTACTATATGATCTGAATGCTCATTATATACCAACTCTGCATCACCATTTTTTAGTAGCAATTGAGTTAGATTTTAAACTCTTATGACCGTGAGTGGTGATATGTTATTATGCTGCTTTTCGTACTTTAGTACAAGGTTCTGTTTAAAAATATGGTATTTTTGTGTGTTGAGCAGTGTGATGTTGACATAAAGCCCACTGAAGTAATTGAAAATATTGTCTTAAGTTGAAATTAAGTTTTGCTGTGTTTCCAGTGAATGTATAGCTTATATATAAACACTGTACCTCTTTCATGTAGGAGAGGATGAGAATACTCCAAGAGTACTTCTTGTTTCATTTTCACTGAGGCAACAGGATATTGGTGTTGATACCCTTCTTCTCATTTATAATGTGTTGTAAAAGACTTCTGGGAAGCATTACATCTTAAGTTGGTACTTTCTCAGTGCCAGGGTGCCTGTTCAGGAGAATGAGGAAAATGAAACTTTGCAGACACTTGCAAAGTGAACATGCCACATATTCTAAAGAGTAATTTGTGTCTCAGCCTGCAGGCACAGGAGGAGCTTGTTGTTATATCTTAATTTAAATAAAGTGCCTTTCAGGTTGCGTAAATCTAACTTAAGGTTTGAATAGACCTTCTTTTATAATTCCCTAAAAGTGGCTTGTGTTAAGAAATTTCAGTTAAAAGTTGTTTTCTCTTTTCATGAGGTCATGCAAAGTCACCTAAGGTGACTTTAATAAAGGCTGTTAATCAGCAGTGGCTTCGTATCCTTCAGTCTAAAGCACCTTTATCATCCACCTGACATTATTAATTTAAAAGATGCAAAATATTCTACTCTATAAATTAAATATATTGAAAGTTGTTTTGATATATTTAAACAATTAAATTATTTAAATTAAATTACTAATTTCATTGGTTTATGAGAGTCTTGAAAAGCCTGGATTAGAAAGTTTTAGTTCTTTTGGCAGTCATGAGCCATCTGCCCATAGCCATGATCTCTGGTGGTGCGTTCCTTGATCTAATGTGTTGTACCTAGTGCACATGACATATCTTGCAAATTATAAAAATGAACAACCCATAAAAGATAATTCTAGTAGCCTCATTTCCAATTTGCTAGTATGCATTGGGAATTGCTTGTCTTGAGAGATTACATTAATCCCTTTTTGTACGTGGTTCATATGAAACTGAAGTTAACCAAGGAAAATGTCCTGTGGAAAAATATTCTTTGTCCTGCCAAAATACAGCCATGCATAAAATTCAGGATGTGGTTTGTGTTGCATGAAAATTCAAATGGAGCAGAAAATTGGAACTATACATTAATTGAATAATAATTTTCACTTTATTCCCCACTTATGCTAACATCTTTAATTTTAGTGAATTAATTTAATATGAATATGGGCGTCATGCATTGCTCTTACAACGCTTTTATAATTTAGCAGTAATTAGTATACTACTATTGCACAGTGCAATCACATTCTCAGATTTATTCTTCATTCAGATTTCTCCTTTTTCCCTGCTGGTCAAAGAGAAAATAGGTGCAACATTGAAGTTGTGCATGCATTAATGCTGCAGAAGTCTCTATACTGCGCTTAGTCACATTCTGTTTTATCAAAATGTTAAGTAATCTCTATTTAAATTATTTTTCTTCTAATAAAGTTTTGGCTGATTTTGTCTGATTGAATCTATGACCTCTAGAACATAGAAGCACACAGGTGGGAAAGAAACTCCACAGGTTTCTGTTCCAAGCCCTTGCTCAAAGCAGATCCAATTAGAACTGGTTACTCAGAGGCTTGCGCCATCATGTTATGAATATCTCCAAGGATGGGTGTCCCACAGCATCTCTGAGCCCCTGTTCCTTTGTTTGAGCAATAATAAATAAACAAATAAATAATGTTCTTACATCTGTTCACAATTTCCTATATTCCGGCTTCGTCCGTTGCCTTTCATTCTGTTGCTGTGCACTCCTAAATAGAACCTGGCTCCATCATCTCTGCACCATCTCAGTGCCTTCTCTTTTGAAGACTGAGCAAAATTGCCTCTCAGCCTCCCCTCATTTAATATTCACTCCAGCCCTCTCAGCATCTTGTTGGTCTTTACTGGACTTGCTTGAGAATGGCAAAATTTTATAGATATCTTGCTCTGATATTAAAGGAAGATGGTATATATGCTTTAAAATATAGTATTCTATTTTCTCCAAAGTCGATCAAAATTTTTCTGAATCTTTCTGTTGTCTTTAAGGATTCTCAACCACAACTTACTCTTGTTTAGTTTCATATTCTGCTTAAACAGTTTAAATGGTAACTAAACGTTGGGGAGTACAGATTGATTACGTTTCAAATTCCATTATGCAGAACAGTGGGTTCATCTTATGTCACTGGGCCAGCCCAGAGGGAGTATTTTTTTGGTGGTTTTCTTTTCCTTTTGAATTCTAAGTCAAAGCATATGCAATAATGTGATCTAGCTTTAGAAAGCACACGAGAGTTTCTATTTTGTTTTTATTTTTGTTTTATAATATGGAACTGAAATAAAATATATCTACAGCAGTTTTGCCCATAGGATATTTTGTTTTAAGAAAATCGCTTTTTTTTTTAAGGGTGTGAGATAAAGGATGGTTTTTGTTTCTGTAGAAAACGGTACGCTTATAAATGCATATTTTATTGCTAGCACCATATGGCTACATGTACGTTTTAAAGGCCATTTATACGAGCAGGCTCAAAAAGTGAAGTGTAATGTGTGTTTAAGCTCAGAAAAACTAAAAGCCAAAAATTGAGTTAGTTTTCATATTTCAGTGTTGATCTTTGTGTTTTCTCTTGTAAGGAACCTATCTCTGAAGCTGTCAAAGGAGGTAGACCAAGGAGAAGCCAGGTATCCTCGTGTTAGCCAGCTGGCTGGCAGCCCATCTGTGGAGTGGCCTTTTACTGGTCTGGAAGAAGGTGGAGGCATTGAATCTTTGCCCTTCAGATTGATGCTGCAAGATTGCACAGCTGTAAAGACATTGCTTCTGAAAATGAAGAGGGTTCTTCAAGAGGTAATCACCCAGTCATTTGTTAAATTAATAGCTTTCAACATTAGTGAGCTAAGCAGCAGAAAAGGGTCAGGAAAGTTTATGGACTTGATGTCTTAATATGGCTGGAATATATGGAATTGATGCAGAAGTATAAATAGTATGCAACATGGTAGAGGTCAGAAAGCTTATACTATAACAGAATTTAACTGATACCACCATCTTGGTGTGCTGAGTATGAAGTTTCTCATTAGCTTTTAGCAAAAAGGGGGCAGAGGAGAAGTACTAGATCAAAATAAATTCTATTGGTTCCCTCTAGTATTTTAGAGCTTTTCAGTTTTCTTACTGCAGTTGTTAATCAGTACAAAGTCTGCAATTAGTTCAGAGGAGAGATGCAAGGAAAAAGAAATGTCCTTTTAAGTTTCAGTACTGAACTTAAAGATTACTAGCCTGAGTTTGTAAATGACTGTTTAAATAGGATTTCTTAGGCCATTTAACAATTTCAGGAGTCCTGACTAGTTCTGTCCTGCTGTGTTCTCCTGCTTCCCTCACAGGCTGCAGGTGTTGCTTTGATTTCTTTTCTTTTTTTTTTTTTTTTACATCCAGTTCCCTTTAGCATTTTAGAAGAAATCAAATTATTATAAGGCTGGTCTGGGTTTTTTTTGGTTTTGGTTTTTTTTTTTTTTTTTGACACTTTCCAGCTGTGGATATTTGACATTTTTTTGCAAGCTTTCAGTTTCATTTTAGTGAAGTGCAATATGCGTTGTCTTTGAGACCTACAAGATATATATTTCTTTTAAAGCTATGTAATTCATAGGATTACAGAATAATGTAGGTTCAGAAGTGCCTCTTGAGGTCCAACCTCTCTGCTCAAAGCAAGGTCCTCTTAGAATAGGTTACTGAAGGCCTTGTCTACTTAAGTTTTTGGTGCCTTTGTGGGGTTTCTGTGTCATCTCTGGATAGCAGTTCCAATATTTGACTACATCATTGCCATTTTCCTCCCTAAAATATAATCAGAATTTCCCTTGTTGCAACTTCGTTGTATGATGAAGTGCTAGTCACTTAACTGAGACTTTGTGGGTTGTTTTTTTGTTTGGTTGCTGTTGTTGTTTGGTCTCCTGGGACATTTGCTTTTTTTTTTTTTTTTTCTTTTTTTAATGCTCACTTTTCAAGCATCTGTATATAAATTCAACCAATTGTTGGCCTGTCTGAGAAGGTTTATCAAAGTTTTAGCCTTAATAGTCATCCATTAGCCCTCTTAAATAGCATGTTTTTTGCTCTATGGCAAGCCTTATGCCTTTCAGTTTCCCTCAGTTCACTAGCAGCTTTATGTATGCTGTTGGGCTTCTTAATGGACTTCTGCTGAAACTGAAATTGAAATCATTAATTCTCCTGCTTATGTAGTGTCAGAATATAGAGTGCATTTAAAGCTGCTTTTCCTCTGAAAAGGATTTGTAACCATATTATATATGGAAATTAATAATAAGAATTATAATATTGCATGACATAGCAGTTGTAACATTGTGCTGTTAACACTGAGAGCATGCTGTGTTGCTTCTAGTGTGAAAAATTCATGTCCAGTTACTAATACATCCTTATGTAACTAATTTTATTTTTTATCTTAATCATTCAGTGTTTTACTTCCCTTGTACCATGTAGTTTCCATCCTCTCATTTGACTGTAATGCAGTGTGATTCTGCCCTTTCCTTTTTTTCTTGCCTTGCCTTCCTTTATGAAATCAAAGTGGCCTTTTTTTAATTCTGGATGTTACATGTGATGCACATATGTATGCGCTGTTATTTGCTTTCCTGGTTTCTGGCAACTTTGAGATGGAATATTCTAGTAGTAGTACACATTGGTCTAGTATGCAGCTGAACAAAACTCACATGGCTAGAATGAAATGACAATCTGATGATTACTGAAAACATTTACTACCTTGAATTATTTGTATTTTGGTTTTAAGTGAGTTATTTGTATAATAGCAGGAATTGAAATACTGTGTTGTGTACATAGGAGTGTACTTTTTAGTAGCCCTATCTGAGAAATAGCTGAAATGTAGTGCAGTCTTCCAGTTATACTGATATAAGTGCACATACTAATTCTTGAAACAAAAAATAATTTTTCAAGGTCATGTTAAACTACACAGTTTTCATATCTCCATAAAGAGTTATCAAACCCATTCACTGTACGGTGGGCAGCAGCCACGGTGTAATTGCAGGGAAGTGAAAGAGCAATGACAACAAAATATTCACAAAAAATATATTCTTTAAAACAAATTAAAATTTTAGGAATTATTCCAAAACCAGAATAGGATTCAGAAGACAATAAGTAGCTAGTTTGAACAACTAAAGAGAAGATGACCTTGAAATATATCACAAATTTATATTGGAATGACACAACTTGATTATTTTTAGAAATCCAGACTTTTATACATTTATGTCACTTTTAAATTATTAGCGAAGATTCCAGGAAAATATAATTCTATCAAATAGATACATTGTGTTGAAGAGTGTGATAAATAAGTCATCTAAACATATTTGGCAGGCAGTTTCCATGGAGAAGGTACCCTACTTCCATTGTAACTAGATGTAATTTCTTCATCCAAAAAATCACTTCCGCCCAAATCAATATTATAAATCAAACTCACAACAGTACTGAATTAAAAGATATAAAAGAAACCCACTTTCCTTACCATGGAATGTTCACATATTTTTAGATGTAGTGGAACATAGGCTGTGGCAGGATTATATGGTATAGAAGTGAAATATTGTTTGGCTATAACAGTATTAAATATGTATATTTATTAAAATAACATGTCACATATTTCACACAGTTTCAAAATATACAGAGCATACAGTCTTCAAGGGGAAAAATTACGTATGAGTTATCAGGAAAAAAGCTGCAGTATTTCAGTTTCATAGCTGTTGTTACCCGTAGAAGAAGAAATTACCGTTGTCTACACCTCTTTATTGAAAAATAACATGTTAATTGAGTTAAAATACTAGCCCTGTTATTCAATATAATCCTTCTATTTAAGCACTGAGCACTGCTTCTAAGGAATAATTTAATTATGATTTTCCAAAATGTAATACTAGCTAGTAAAATATACTTCTTTTTATCGTTGCACTTGCTTGTAATAGAAGAATCCAAATGGAAAAAGTGAATACAATATATTCTGTACTGTGCTGCAAAGTTATATAGCTGTGAGTTTAGCTTGTTATTAGTCTTACCATGAAAAGGGAAATTGAAGACATGGCAGTAACTTGCAAGATTGAGAATCTTATTAGGTAATGTATTTAGTAAGACTAATGAAAGATCATTTAATTAAGAGAATTAATTACCAGTTCACTTCTAGTGAAAAAGCCTTGAAAATGTTTACTAATAATTCTTTATAGCTTTGGCCATGCCAGTCTCATAAGGCAGATTGTTCCCTAATGTTTTGAGAATCTCATTGAACAAAGATGAAGAGAGCCTGCGGACCCTGGCACAGGAGCAAACTCAGTGATCCACTAGAAATTAATCCAAAAAGTATGTCTCACTCTATTTGGCAGCTTTTTCTGTTGGATATTCCATTCCTAACAGATAAATGTGCAATGAATGGAACAATCAAGACTTGGGGGTTGCAAAGTTTCATGAAAAACTTTACCAGGGATTAGCAACACAGCCTGCTTGATGAAAGCCACTTCACAAGACAATACAAGTTGTCATGTAGCTTGTCTGTGATTTACAAGTAGTTCTTGGTCTCTCTTTTCTCTCCATCTCACTTACGTTTATTGAAATGTTTGGGTTTGTTTTTTTTCCTCGAAGTCTGCTTGGTGTTGATCTTTTTCTCAGTACTACCTGCTCTCATTCAAAAACAAAAAAGAAAACAAACAAAAAGGAATAATAATAATAAAAAAATGAAGTCGGGAGTGAGTTGGTTGAGGGCAGGTTTGCTCTCTCCTAAGAAATTAATTTTTCACTTCAGAAAGGCCTTTTTGCTCTGAGCCAGTCTTAAACTCATAATCTGTGTCATCTGTCCTCCCCCATATGCCGTGCTTTCTATGTTTTATTACATTTGTGGTCGCTAATTGATTGCTTATAGTCAATGAGCTTCTAAAATTTAGACTGCAGCTTCTTCCTCACTTATTGCTATCAACAATAATGAATATATAATGCCTCTTTCTCAAGCAATATATGGGTTTTCCTGTACTCTTCCAGATGAGACTGAAATTATTTCCATCCATTAACTTTTTTATGGTTTGAGTTATAGCTTACTGAGGCAATGTTGAAGGCTGGCTAATTGAGAGGACATTTAATGGCTTTGCCTTTGTGGAAATCATTGGTAGAACATTTTAGGCAAAGACATATGAGGAAAGCTTGTGTGGTTTTGGTATTGTGCCTGGCAGAAAAAAAAAGGGTCTTTGTGCTGAAATAAACATAGTGGAAAAAAAAATACAGCTATTTTAGGAAGGAATCCATTTAGTCAGTGGTGTGATGGGGTTTTGTTCAAACTGTAGATACTGAAACGAATGTCCCAGTAAAACCAAAATCTTATCCACATTTAGGCTTATTTCTACAGGTCGTATTTCCCCTGTATTCTTTATGAAATGCATAGGTTATCAACTACATAATTCTACTTTCAGATATTTTTATGAGGCTATTAGAAATGACCTTACTGGTTGCTAATCTAGACAATTAAGAAACGTTGCCTGTATGTTTGTGTAATTTGGAACATAAATTATTCATTGCATGGCCATGCTTCTTTCAGAGCTCTGCAAAACACCATGCAGGCTGTGGAGCTTTAGAAATTGAAGCTAATTACTACAATTAGCAATAGGGATAAGTCATTCTGGACATATATTGCATACTGTGTTTTACTAATTAATCATTTATTTTACTGTGGGAAATTACAGCTGTCTGTGGCTGTCATTAAAACTTAATGTGTCCAATACAGTGTTTTTAGATTACACTTGAAAAAATGACAGTGGCCGGGACAGTTGCCTGAGACTTGTGGGACAGAGTGAGACCACTCAGTCTGCAAT